TATAAAAAATTTGCTCTATATAGATGTATGACATGCTTAATAGCTCCCTTAAAACATCAAATTTTCCAAGGTAAAAGAAAAAAAAACATAAATATGCGTGGTTGTTAAAAGTTGGGCCTATATGTCTAGAACAAAAGCTAAAAAACTACTGTCTTACAGCTTAATAGGGTGAGTCTCAAAAAATGGGGTAAAACAAGTCAAGGCTAGAGCTCCAGACTGCCTTGTCCCCCAGCCCCTTACCTTTTTGTACTTCTGTTTCTTTTAGTTAGGCCCCTTCCTCACTGGACTCTCCCTTTAGTTAAATAATCAAGAAAGAGGTTTACTAAAAAAAGAAACATTTATATTGAGACTACATTCTCCAGTTAGGGCTTTTGTATAAACTAAACTTTGCCTTCCTGACAGTACTCAGCCACTCCTTGCAGGATTTATTAAAACTTATGTTCACTTCTCAGTGTAGGGACAATTCAGAACAGATATCAGAAAAGTTCCCAAATAACTCAGAAAAGTGTTATAACAAAATAGGCAAGACACCTTAACCTTTGATTTAACTCTCACCCAGTAGAGTCATTCATGGTAATCCTGAAGGCTGAGAACTACTCTGAGGGCGGGATCTAGAAACGGCCCAGATCAAAGCCTCGGCCTCAGAAGAAACTGTTTCCAATGTGGGCAGCCCGGGCACTGAACAATGTCCATGACTGTTGTCCTCATGTCCCCCAGTGGGGCCTTGACCCCAATGTGGAGTTGGTGACTAGAGATGAGACAGAATGCACTGAGCTCTGAAGGGAGCTCTGGACTTCTGGAGTCTATGCTAGCCTTTAAAATTAAAGATTGATTGGGCCCAAGACCCCCACAGCTCCCCTTGGACATCTGACAACACTGGACAAGCTCAGGTAACCTTTAAAGTGACTAAGATTAATTTCTGTCTAAATCAGAGGTTAAGATTGTTTCCAAAAGTACACTCATAAAAAAAATAAAAACAAATAGTAGTAAACAGATCGACTGAGCCTGTGACAAGAGACAAAATGATAAGACCCAGCTGGAGGGGAGACATCTCTATCACCAACTAAAAGTTCTTGTAGCCGCCCCAGATTGTGTCCTCCTCCTCCTCCTAAATATATATACTTTGTGCCTAGTCTAGATAGCCTTATCAATGGTGTTGTCTCAAAATGTGCTGCTCGTGCACAGGTGAATCCTAAAACCCTCAGGCAAGGCTCCCTCGGGAATCAAATGGGGGGTGGGGGGGACTTAGAGAACATTGGGGAAATCTATGGTGTCTAATAGTTCAGTCTCTAGGTGAAATGAAACTAACTAATGTAAGACTAGCCTGGTTTTGCTTTCCTTAAAGAAAAAAAAAGTAATTAGATAATTAGATAAATTACATAAATGTAAATAGAGTACATGTTTATAATTGAATTTATTTGTTGGATTAAGGCAATTTTTAATGTTAAACTTATAAAGATAAAAACAAAAAATAACTGAAAGAAGGGTTATGCCTATAAAAATGTAGTTCTAATGGAAAATGTTAAAAAGAAAAATTACTATAATAAGGAAATTTTGTATAGTGAGTTTTTGTCTGAAAATGAAATGGTTATAGCAAAACAAGAGAAAAAGGAGACAAAGACTAGAAGATGAAAAGCATGTTGTTGAATGTTTGAGTTGTGTTACAGAAGTCTGAAAAAGAGTTACAACAATTGATCAAGTTAGTGTTCTGGAGCTGACTGTGCTATCTTTAAATGTTATATACAGCAAAACAAGTAAAAGAGAGGAGCCCCTCCAACTAGTCTAGATGGGGCCTCACATAGTTGTAAAGTTAGCCTGTGAGTCTGTCACACCAAAGCCAAGAGGACTGCTTCCACGGACTCACCAGGATCTTAGTCCATAAAGATGGACCAAGAGGGTCCTTTATGACGGTGCTTCAGAGACCAAAGAGCAGCAGCCCTGCTCTAGTTACTCCAGAGGCTGACTGCAAGTCGGACATTGACGGCCCCACGACCACATGGTTGGAGAAAAGACAGGCTGCTGCTGACTCATGAGACCATAAAGGCCTTTAAATATTGGATGCTAGTTGCAGACCTACTGCCCAAGCATACCAGGCACGGCACTATCAAGGTGACTTTCCTTAACAGATATTTGAGGAGACTCAAAGAGAAAAATGGTATGGTTTCTGTTTTCTGAGAAAATTTTTTCCCGTAAGTAACTAACCAAGTGACGTCCTGCTTCTGTAAACTGCTTGCATTGTCTTGAAAAGCGCTGTGTCACAGTCTCCCTGTAAATAATTGAACCTGGTGACTGCATACAGTGAACATTGGCCCAGGCCATCCGACCAGATGCTCCTGTGCGTGAGCAACTGCGCCTGGCAACTAGAGATCATAGAATCAGCCCATCCCTGACTGGGACCCTATAGAGCTCAATAACAGGGACCCATGATTGGTTCCACTATGTTCTTGGGAAAGGGGGAAATGAAGGGCCAGAGTGACTCCATTTCTTTCCAGGCGACTCCATTTTGTTAAACCCACCTTGCTGAGAATCTGGGCTATTTCAAGGAGGCAAGCGGGTCACATAGGAAAAAGTCATGAGACCATCACTCACCCGGACTGACCAATGAGAGAAACAAAGGAGATAACAGAAACCTAAAGTAACTTTTTTACTGAGAGAAACAAAGGAGATAGCAGAGACAGCTACACTCCCTGTAACCTACAGCCAATGTGTAGCCGCCTGAGTGCATTCCTCAGCACCCCTCTACCTTCCCTCCAACAACCAAATAAAAACCCACCCCAACTAACATGCAGGGCTCTCAACTCTGACCCGCTGTGCCAGTAAGATTGGGAGTCCTGGCTCTAGCCGGAATAAAAGCGATCCTTGTGTGTTTACATTGGAATTGGCTCCTTGGGGTCTCAGGAATTTTGCAACGGGGTACAACAGGAGTTTTCTGCGTGAGCTTGAAGCTGGGAGTGGAGGAGCTGAACTGCCGGGGAAGGAGACTGCAGCACGAGCGGGTGCAGAATGCAACACAGACAAGTTTAGGGGCCAGCGGTCGCAGAAATCTGAGAGAGGCAGGGGAACCGAGGTGCTCAGAACCCGGTAAGGGGAAAGTGGTTTTAACATCGCTCTGAGGAGCGACTTCCCAGAGGAAGCTCCTGTTACCCAGAGAGCAGCCCGGATCCCAAACCCTAAGTGGCAGAGACTTCACTCGGGGCTTTCGCTGGCCACGTCCAGGAATACCAGCCCTGAGCAGGATGGCCCGCCCTAGACGAGGTCAGCTGGGCGAGGAAGTTGGGTCGGGATCTGGAGGAAATTCCCTGCGTGCCAGCGGGGGGTTGCGCGTGCGCGAGCCTCGGGCACAGTCCCCGCCAGGGATCTAAAAAAGAGTTATAGGAATTGATCAAGTTAGTGTTCTGGAGCTGGTTCTGCTATCTTTGAATGTTATATACAGTAAAACAACTAAAAGAGAGGAGCCCCTCCAACTAGTCTAGATGGGGCCTCACATAGTTGTAAAGTTAGCCTGTGAGTCTGTCACACCAAAGCCAAGAGGACTGCTTCCACGGACTCACCAGGATCTTAGTCCATAAAGATGGACCAAGAGGGTCCTTTATGACGGTGCTTCAGAGACCAAAGAGCAGCAGCCCTGCTCTAGTTACTCCAGAGGCTGACTGCAAGTCGGACATTGACGGCCCCACGACCACATGGTTGGAGAAAAGACAGGCTGCTGCTGACTCATGAGACCATAAAGGCCTTTAAATATTGGATGCTAGTTGCAGACCTACTGCCCAAGCATACCAGGCACGGCACTATCAAGGTGACTTTCCTTAACAGATATTTGAGGAGACTCAAAGAGAAAAATGGTATGGTTTCTGTTTTCTGAGAAAATTTTTTCCCGTAAGTAACTAACCAAGTGACGTCCTGCTTCTGTAAACTGCTTGCATTGTCTTGAAAAGCGCTGTGTCACAGTCTCCCTGTAAATAATTGAACCTGGTGACTGCATACAGTGAACATTGGCCCAGGCCATCCGACCAGATGCTCCTGTGCGTGAGCAACTGCGCCTGGCAACTAGAGATCATAGAATCAGCCCATCCCTGACTGGGACCCTATAGAGCTCAATAACAGGGACCCATGATTGGTTCCACTATGTTCTTGGGCAAGGGGGAAATGAAGGGCCAGAGTGACTCCATTTCTTTCCAGGCGACTCCATTTTGTTAAACCCACCTTGCTGAGAATCTGGGCTATTTCAAGGAGGCAAGCGGGTCACATAGGAAAAAGTCATGAGACCATCACTCACCCGGACTGACCAATGAGAGAAACAAAGGAGATAACAGAAACCTAAAGTAACTTTTTTACTGAGAGAAACAAAGGAGATAGCAGAGACAGCTACACTCCCTGTAACCTACAGCCAATGTGTAGCCGCCTGAGTGCATTCCTCAGCACCCCTCTACCTTCCCTCCAACAACCAAATAAAAACCCACCCCAACTAACATGCAGGGCTCTCAACTCTGACCCGCTGTGCCAGTAAGATTGGGAGTCCTGGCTCTAGCCGGAATAAAAGCGATCCTTGTGTGTTTACATTGGAATTGGCTCCTTGGGGTCTCAGGAATTTTGCAACGGGGTACAACAGGAGTTTTCTGCGTGAGCTTGAAGCTGGGAGTGGAGGAGCTGAACTGCCGGGGAAGGAGACTGCAGCACGAGCGGGTGCAGAATGCAACACAGACAAGTTTAGGGGCCAGCGGTCGCAGAAATCTGAGAGAGGCAGGGGAACCGAGGTGCTCAGAACCCGGTAAGGGGAAAGTGGTTTTAACATCGCTCTGAGGAGCGACTTCCCAGAGGAAGCTCCTGTTACCCAGAGAGCAGCCCGGATCCCAAACCCTAAGTGGCAGAGACTTCACTCGGGGCTTTCGCTGGCCACGTCCAGGAATACCAGCCCTGAGCAGGATGGCCCGCCCTAGACGAGGTCAGCTGGGCGAGGAAGTTGGGTCGGGATCTGGAGGAAATTCCCTGCGTGCCAGCGGGGGGTTGCGCGTGCGCGAGCCTCGGGCACAGTCACGGCCAGTGAGAACCGGCGGCGCTCTCGCATGGGGCCGCGCCTCCCAGCCTTCCTGTTTAACCCCTTGACGCGGATTCGGCCGGTGCTCGCGCCTTCACCTCTGCCACCAGCTGCCAAGGAAACCATTCTCGGGCGCTCGCAACCCACACCCTTGGGTTCCCGCCCACAACCCCCGCGGCTCCCCCCAGCCCCCCTCCCGAGTTTGGGGTTCCCGCGCCGGCGGCCGCAGGTGGGTGGCATGGAGCGAAGCAGCGGTCATCAGGGCGGCCTGGGCCGCACCTTGTGCGTTCTGACCGGGGCCTCCCGCGGCTTCGGCCGGGTGTTGGCCCAGCTGCTGGCCCCGCTGCTGTCGCCCGGCTCCGTGCTGGTGCTAACCGCCCGCAGCGACGAGGCGCTGCAGCAGCTGGAGGCCGAGCTGGGCGCCGGACGGCCTGGCCTGCGCTTGGTGCGGGTGCCCGCCGACCTGGGCTCTCAGGCCGGCTTGCAGAAGCTGCTCGGCGCCCTACGCGAGCTCCCCAGGCCTGAGGGGCTGCAGAGACTGCTGCTCATCAACAACGCGGGTAAGACGCCCGGGGACAGGGTGCGGGCTTCCCGAGTGAACACTCACTTCTCCCACCGTTGGGGAATTAAAGGGCGCCTCCTAGGGAGTCTGGTAAGACGCTCGGAAGTCCGAATTCTAGTTGTTCCACCTTGAGTAGCAGGCAGAGGTGAGAGGGAGGAGTAGAGGACTAGGCGGTGCAGTCCACAGTTTCCCCAGGCGAGTTTTCCAAAATGCTCTCCCGATCGCCTGACCCAGCGCCCTCTGGCGGAGGCCTGAGTCAGGGCATAAGGTCTCCAGACAAAATCCCCCTATTTCTGGGGCCCCTAGAACTGCCCTCCAGTTCCAGAGCAAAGCAAGCTCCTTCTCCGTTTGCAGCTCAGCTCAGGAGAGTGGGCTCCCCAGTTGTGTCTGTTAGCAGAGCGTGAAGACGGAGGTCTTCAGAAGTGCTAGGCAGATCCTCCATCTAGGGCAGGGTGGGAAGGAACTCTGGGAGAATTGGGGAAGCTTGGAAGAGGAAGGATGAGCTCTGCCTGCACTTGCTTATTCCTAAGGTCTGATTTTTCAGCCACTCTTGGGGATGTGTCCAAAGGCTTCGTGGACCTGCCTGATGCAGCTGAAGTGAACAACTACTGGGCTCTGAACTTGACCTCCATGCTGTGCCTGACCTCCAGCCTCCTGAAGGCCTTCCCTGATAGTCCTGGCCTCAGCAGGACTGTGGTTAACATCTCATCCCTCTGCGCCCAGCAGCCCTTCAAAGGCTGGACGCTGTACTGTGGGGGGAAGGCTGCTCGTGACATGATGTTCCAGGTCCTGGCTGCAGAGGAGCCCAGCGTGAGGGTACTCAGCTATGCCCCAGGTAGGTGGGTGTCCTGCCATCCCTGTTCCCCAGAGCCAACTGGTTCTCCTCTGGGCATTGTGCAAGGGGCCTAGTTTGTCCCCTCCAGGAAAGGACTCAGAGTGTATTGTCCCTGAATCATGACTCTTCACCCCTTTTAGAGGAAATAATCAGACTCTAAGGAAGTTAGAGTTGGCAGGGGCCAGAGATATGGAGAGATGAGGCAGGGCAGTCTGACGTAATAGGTGGAATCTGAGAGAAGATGAGGGTTTGGACTCTGGACCTGTACCCCGTTTTCTCATGTGAAATAGGGAAGATGCTCTCTGTCTCACAGGGTAGTTTGGAAGACTAAATGAGATAATATATGTGAAAACTATCCTTAACTGTGAAGTAGTATCTAATTATTAGGACTTGTAATTGTCATATAGGACTTTCTACTTTGTATTGTCCTCCCGTGTTTCTGTTTGGTTTAGGTTTTTGCTATAAGGCATGCGTGCTCACTGGAGAGAGAGGGAAAGTGAGAAGTCACCCACCGGAGGGGGATGGCCATGCTGCACTACCTTCTCCTTCTCTGTCCTCTCAGGGTTTTGGGCATCCACGTGCACATGCCCAGCTTGATTTTCAAGCTGTCAGGTCTGAGACTTAAACCGTAGTCTGCCGTTTGTGAGTTCATCGTCTTAGCCACCACCCCACCTGCTGGCCCTCTGCCTATATTTATTTGACTCCTTCCCTATCTTGACAGGAAAGTCTTGAAGACAGGGACAAGGCACTTCCCAGAACTGGGGCTGTGAAAAGAACCTGATGTCAGGGCATATAGAAACCTTCCCTGGTACCTGGTCATCTGTGTGTCCCCTGCACCTAGCAAACACGGCACTGAGGCAATCTGCAGTAAGTGTTAGTTGTTGAGTGCTGACCATCCCAGGCTGAACTGTGCTGGAACATGAAGATGGGGGATGCCATGATAAATAAGACAGGTTCCTTGACTTCATGAAAGTTGAAGAGTAGGGCATGTTGTGACACTTGGTCTGGTTTCTGATCACCCTACCATGAAACCACAATGCCCGTTTCTTAAGAGTGAGCGTACTAATCTAGGCTTGAGGTTGCTGCATTTAGAAGGTGGTGACACAGCTGTGATAGAATAGCTGAGCAACTTGAATAGAGGCTAGTAGTTTATCCCCCTGAGGAATAGGATGAGGGTTCTGGGGCACAGAGGTAGAATGGCCTGCCCAAAGCCCACATGTGACAGGGCCAAGATCGTATCCTGCTTCCAGGTTCTTCATGTTCTCCAGTACCCATCCCCCCACCACATACACACATGCACGTGTGCACGCACGCATGTGCACGCACACACACACACACACACACACACACACAATTATTCTTACAGGCAGTATTCAGCTCATCACCCACGCTTAGATGAGCCTAGGATTCTCTGAACAACGACCAAATGTGAACTACATTAAGAGTGGAACAGACTCCAGGATGCCATGTAGCTAGGTTAGTGCTCATGAAACTACCTGAAGCATTACGAGCGAGCTGAAATTTTGGGGAAGTCTCCAGCTCCTGAACAAAGGCAGAGGCCAGTCTGGTTTTCATTTCAGTCCCAGGAAGAATGTTCTAACAAGTGCCCGAAGATAGAACCGGCCATTGGAAAGGGGGCAGGCACTGTCTCATCAGGATAATTGGAAGAAGTTCAAGGGTCAGGATCATGGTTCTCCAACCCTGAGATTCTAGCATAATGGCTATATCGCTGAACTCACACGTAGTCAACCACGGTTCGAGTCCTGGACCTGGTGGCTTAAACTCACGCCGGGCGTGTGTGCATGTGTGCCCAAGATCCCAAGAGGCGAAGGGATAGTGGAGTGGCCATCCGCCCTGGGGGGTGATTTCTCACTTTCTGTCCCTCAGTCTCTCTCAGTCTTTCTGGTGAACACACACGCCCTATAGCAAAAACCTCTCCAAAAAAAAAAAGAAGATGGCTTTATTGGAGGTAGCTGAACTGGACATTGACCTTGAGGGCTGCTTAGAAGTTAGGAGGTGGAAGGCACTCCTGAGAAATGCAGGTAAAGGTGGGAAAGCTCATTACAAGAGTAATAAACCTTCCAGCTTGGCTGGAGGCCAAGAAGCAGAGGGGAGCAGATAAGGAGGCCTTGAGTTCTAGGCCAGGCCATTGGGAAGCCAGTTCATGGTTTGGAGTGGAGAAGTAGTGTGATCCCAGTGGTATTTCAGCAAAATTGATTTAGCAGAGGACTGTGGAAGAGGTTGAGGCAGGGAGAGAACTAGGGCTGTGCAAAGAGCCTGATGTTGGCATGTAGAAACCTTCCTGGTGCCTGATCAGCGGTGGGACAGAGGGAGGGAGGAGATGAGGGTGTTTCATGTCTGAGAGAAAAGCCCTTTATTAATGGACGTGGAGCGTCAGGAGGTGGTGCTGGTTGGAAGGGAGAAGATAAGCTGGGTTTTAGACACAGGCATCTGGAGGGGACCATGTTCAGGCTTTGAAATTTGAGTCTAGTACTCAACGGTGCTAAAGAAGAGCCTTCGGTGACCCTACCCACACATTTCAGCCAAGATGAAGTATTGCCTGTGGCCAGGTCTGACTTTGCCCAGCGGGGACCATGACCTCTGCTCTCCCTTGACTGTGTCCTTTCATCTCCTGCCTTTTATCCCCTAGGTCCCCTGGACACAGACATGCAGCAGTTAGCCCGGGAGACCTCTGTGGACCCCGATATGAGAAAAAAGTTGCAGGAGCTGAAGACAAAGGGGGAGCTGGTGGATTGCAGTGTGTCAGCCCAGAAACTGCTGAGCTTGCTGCAGAAGGACACGTTCAAGTCGGGGGCCCACGTGGATTTCTACGAAAAATAAACCCATGTCCTTGGCTTCCCAGGTCTTCCTGTCCCCACTTTCAGGCACAGCCCAGCAGCCCTGTGCTCCGCACAGTGGCACCAGCAACCCTGCCTCACTGATGAGCACTCACGCCTCCTGTCCTGCCCTCAGACGCAGCCAGCTGCCAGGGCCTCAGGTGCTGGCATTACCAGTGGTCAGGAATCTGAGTTAGAAAGAGGCTTTTGCAGGAAGCTCAGGAGAGAGGTTATGGGTGTTAGTGTTTTCTAACTCCAAGAAGGGAATTTTAGGGTGGGTAGAGCAGGGAAAACACTGAGACGATGAAGAGAGGAGATTGGTTTCCTGAGCGATCTGGTGTTAAGAGGAAGACCCCAATAGATTCACAGATGACCTGGAGGGGAGGGGGTCAGCGTGAGTTCTGGCCCACGTGAATGCCCCCGCCCCACTCAGGGTAGCAGATCCTCCCATTAAAGATCATGTCTTCATTCTGATGCCTCCTTCCTCCAGAACCTCTCCCCCACCCCCGCCCCGAGAGTCCATGTACATGGCGAAAGCAGATAGAAGTAAGTGGAGGTTGCCCTTTATTGATGTCTGCTCCGTCCGCTGATACAGGCCCACGATTAACTCCCTGGCTCATTAAGCCCAGGGGTGTTCCTGAGGCACTTAAACTATGGGTGCTACCCTTATTCCTTAAGGAGTACTCCCTTCCTCACTCATCCAAGTCTCAGTGGCAAGCCCAGGTTGTCCAAGATGAATGTCCATGCCTTTGCCTTCATGCTTCTGCTTCTACTGGCCCGCCTTCACTACCCTTTCCTCACCCTTTGCTATTCAGAGTATCCGTCCTTCTGGGCCCAACTCAAAGCTCCATGGCCCTTGCAAATGGGCCCTTTCCCTGGTCGTCTTTTGGATTCCTAGTTAGACCTCTTGCCCATGTGGCAGTATCCTTGTGGCTTCTGTTACAGGCCCTTGGCTCTATCTACCTGGCCCTCAGTGAGGTGGGCTTAGGAGCAGCATGCCTTTGGGGAAGATGGGCAGGGTTCCAAGAGAGGGAAGCCCTCGGAAATCAGGGCTCGAACCAAGCCAGTCCTGAGAATTAGTGGGCATGGGCTGGGCTGTGAGCTCTGCAGAGGTGTGGTCCGCAGCTGGCTTCCTGGCCTGGCCAATATTCAGGAGAAGGGAGCATGGCCCCCAGCCAGGTGTCTGAGAGTCAGCCCTGCATCTGATGCTAAGGGAACTGGATCTGCTCCTCCTCGTGCACAGCAGGGGGCGCACCGAGGCTGTGCCTCCTGCAGAACTGCAGCTCAGCGGAGGGACAAGCCCCAGGTGGGAGCTGGCAACACCCTGCAGGGTCCCCTGGAAGTGAGTGAGCAACCTGGGCTCTTACCTTGCCTAGCATAGTGCTCATCCTCGGTGATGTCAAAATCACTGGACTCCGATGCAGCACATAACCAAGGGCAAGTGGCTTCTCTTCTTTGTACCTCAGTTTCTTTATGTGAGGCATGTGCATAGTAATGGCCCTACCCCAAATGGCCATTATGAGTATCAAGTAATCGAATGTTCCTAAATGTACAGCACATGCTAGCATCGCAGCCGGTGCCCCACAGGTGCTAATGTTACTATTTAATTTGATAGAGAGCATGTGTGCTTGCCAGAAAGAGACTAAGTGAAAAAGCACACACACACACACACACACACACACACACACCCATAGGGGATGGCCACACCACACTTGCTTCTCCTTTTCCCCTTTTGAGATTTTGGGCACATGAACACTCCCGACATGTTTTTCAAGCCTCCAGGTCTGGGCTTTGAACTGCGCTGTCAGCCGTGTGGGATCCAACTGCCTTAACCCCCACACCACTGGCTGGTCCAGATGCTAACATTATTTACTGCCTTTTAATAGCAGGTCCAGCTTGTTGGGGAACATTACTTGTAGTCTCATCTCTAAGCAGCCCAGATGCCACACACACACCCTTGCTGATTTGTGGCAAGAGGTCTCCCCACAGGGTCTCCTGGGAAGGGAAGAAGCTGAGGTTCAGTCTAGGTGCCCTGACTTGGACTCAGGAACACACGTGAGCTTTAGAGTCAGGCTGCATTGAATGGCCCCAGGTTCAGCCCAGCTCAGCCCAGCTCAGCCCAGCTCAACCCAGCTCAGCCTCTTGTGGCTGATCCCTCTGGTTGGCTGGGGCTTAGTGAGGAGTACCAGATGTCCCCACGAGGTGGCGAGGCCTTCCCACGCCTAACAATGGTCTTCTCCCAGCCCAGAGGTTGAAAGAGCTTTGGATGTGCTCCCTAAGCCTTCTGTCCTGTCCCTGCAGTGCAGGCCTCTGGACCGTGAGCCCCCAGGGAACTGAGGTCAGAAAGCATGAGATCACTGCTCCTGGCAGGCCCTAAGTCTTCAGTGACCTGTGGTCCCTGCCCTCAGGGATTTCTCAGGCCCTACTCCCAGCCCTGGACTCAGCTGCCCCAGGTCCCCACCACTGGGCCAGGGAGGCTTTTGTTCCAGCCTCTAGGCCAGGAGCACCCCCACACGCCTGTGCTAACCATCTGTGCTCCCAGGGTGAATGGCCTGGCCTTGGCCACTGCACACATGAGCACATGGGAGCACCCCCAGGATACATGCCTGCACATGCCCAGAGTCAGCTGCTGGAGCAAACACGGCCGCAGATTAGCCAAAAGACAAACAAGGTTTCGCTTTGTCTTTGGTCTATGCAGTTTTTTGGTTTTGTGTTTAATACCCCTGGACAGCTGGCCCGTGAGAAGGAGTGGGTGAGGGGAATGCTCCAGGCCCACCCAGGGAGCTCTGGCACCTTTGTCCATGAAAATGACCACCTGAGATGAAGCCGGCCAGAGTGCCCCCAGCCCTGTCCTCCTCGCTGTGAATACTCAAGCCCCAAACCCGGGCTGAGGCCAGGGCCGGAGCACTGTTAGCCCACCCTGGAGCTTGCCAGCTGCTAGTACCTCCCCATCGGGGCCACTCCCTGGGACATGCTCCATCCTAGCTGCTCCTCATGTCTTGCCTGGGGAGCTGGGCTCTGGGATGTGGCCTTCTGGCCTCCCCCAGCCTTCCCCCACAGAACATGGCCTCTATGCTAACATGCGCGTTCTGATGCAGTGCAGATGCCCGCCACCCAGCTATGCTCCTTCAGCCATGGGGTCCCATGTGGAGACAAGGATGTGAGTGAAGTGACACCTCTCCAGCCCCCACGACATCCCTCAGTGATCTGGGGTACAAGGAATTGGGCATGCACTAAAAGCCACTAGGTGGCTTGCTGGGAATTAGCTGAGGAATCGCCCCCTCTGGGGTCAGCTGAAAAGGGGCCGAAGGGGCCGCTGAGGAGAGGACCGAGTAGGCATCCCTGCCCTTCCTCTGCATCCTGGAGGTCTTCCTCCTGCAGAGCTGAGAGAGGAGCCTGGATGTTCTTTCAGGTTTCTGAAGCCCACCTCCCCACTCCCACCGGGGAATCACTGCTACTTCCCAGCCAGACTCCACTTCACCGTTTGTCTCCCACTCACCAGCATCTTCCACCCTTAGTGAGCTGGAGGAGCCCTGGAGGGACCTCTATTTTTGGTGAGGAGTTAGAGGAAAGGAAGAAGGGAGAGAGAAGGAAATTCATTCAGTCCTGTGGGGGCTCCTCCTCTTGGCCCCTCCCCAAGCTGACCCCAGGGCCTTAGAAGGCTTCCTCAGCCAGGAGGTCTCTGAGTCCACAGGTTCGCTGCCCCCTCCCCACCTGCTGGGCAAGGGAAGAGGGGCTGGGCTCCTGCTCCCTCCCAGACCAGACTGGGGGCCTCCTCTTGGAGCTGCAGCAATCTGTCTGGCACATTCCCTGGTTCATGTCTCAGTCCAGCGGCTGCGGAGGCCTTTCCTGCTCAGGCCTGCAATGTGGGCTGGGGTCCTGCCTTTTCCCAGCCCCATCTTGATTCCGGGGACCCAAGGCCTCAGTCTCAAGAGGCTGCTGTATTCCACGGCCTTCAACCAGACCCAGCACTTTGGAGGCACTGCTGAGAGTGTGATGCAAGGCGAGTGAATGAACGAAAGAGTTCGAGAGTGAGGGAGCTAAGGAGTGTGCGTGGGCCTTGCCCCCGGCAGCCCGAGAGGAAAGCCCAGTGTGTTTACTGTGGCCCAGGTGGGGCTGCGTTATGTCAGAATCACTTGGAGAGTTTTAGGACACACATATTCATGGGGAACTGCAGGGGACAGAATCAGGCAGGGTTAGGGTTGGAGTCTGTGTGCAGGGTCTATGTATGGCCAGGGTGGGGTTGCTGAGGGCCCAGATTTGGGCTCAGCACAGGCCCTGGTTAGGCTCAGTTCATGGTGGGGATTGGGAATATGGAGGTAGAGTCAGAAAACTTGGGGAGGCAGAAGAGGCCTCTATAAAACACTCATTTGCCCCCAAGTGATGAACATGTTAGGCAAGCTGACTCAGTAGAAGTCCAGGCCTGGAAGCAGCAAGCAAGGCTGAAGGGCTGCTCTCAGGAGCCCAGGACAATCCCAGATTCTGCACCAGTCACCTCCACCCCCACCCCCACCCTGCCCCTCAGGCATAAGCCTTGTGCAGAGGGCAGGGGCAGCTGTGCATCTTTTTCTAGAACAAACAGGCTTTCTCTAAGAGTTTGTCCTTTTTTTTTTTTTATTGGAGAGATTTTTGCTATAGGGCGTGTGCACTTGCCAGAAACACAGAGACAGACAGAAAGCGAGAAATCACCCCCCAGGGGGGATGGCCACTCTGCAAGCTCTTCTCCTCCATTCTTCTCTCAGGATCTTGGGCACACGCACACGCACCCGGCGTGAGTTTAAGCCACCGGGTCTGGGACTCAAACCACAGTCGACTACATGGGAATCCAGCAACATAGCCATTACGCTAACTGCTGATCCCTCTAAGAGTCTGTCCTTTTGGTCAGCCTTAAGGTAGGGAAGAGAGCAGAGGCAAAGTGGGGGAGTTGAGAGGAGGCAAGTCCCCCCACCCCCACCCCGCCCCGTCTTCTCTGGAGGCTCCAGGCAGAGAAACAAAAACAGACCCAGAGAGTCAAAGACTGACACAGAATGAGCACCATGAGAGAGGGAGATGGAGAAAGGGACAGAAGCGGGAAAACACAGAGACAAAAAGGTTCGAAAATACAGTACGACAGATTTAGACGGAGGGACAGAGATAGCGGGAGAAGCCACGCACCCTCACACACACTCATACTCTCTCACACACACTCTCACACACACCCAGGCGTGCGCTCACACAGCCGCCCTGAGCCTTGCTGGAAATAATCCCATTCGCGACGCTGGGCCTCAGCTGCACCGGCAGCGCGGAGCTGTTACCTTGCACATCTGTCAGCTCCAAATGTGGAAGCTGTCATAGGGCTGTGCGTGTGTGAGTGTGAGCGTGTGTGTGCATGCGTGCCTGCTCCTGCTGGAGAATTCTGAGGCCGTTGTCGGCAGAGGGATCCCCAGGGCCTGAGGCACTCCAGGAAGGCCATGCCCGGGAGGCAGGCT